CTTAGCGCTTAAATCATCTATTGTAGACTGGGACTTAGGATACCTTTTGATCAAAGGACAATGGCCACGTTCAGCATGCACAACTGTTGAGTGAGCGCTCAATGATTTCTTAACATGATTGGCTGGATCTAAAAGTATATTCACCAATCATACTGAGCGCTCACTCAACAAATGCCTGTGTCCAGCAGAAGTTTGCGCTTGCTAAGCGCTTTGCGTTCATTGGATTATACTTTCAGATCTGTGCTGAAATAGAGCTATTCTTCTAGATCTATCCAATCAGCATAAAGCGCTTATTCTTAGCTAACTTCGGCAGAACACAGCCAATGTGTTTGCTGAACGCGGCCAATTTTTAACAAAATTTCGCATGCAAACGAGAGAGAACGAAATATCACAAAACAGAGTTTGTCCTTTTCTGTGGGAACCTCTAACCCCACTACTCAAATAAAGGCAAACGCTCGGTCTAGATGTATTATATGTCTATGGTTGTCGGCGAGTGGCGCGCCGCGCGGAACGGACATCGCGACGATCGCGACAGATCGTTGAACTCAGAGCGACCGCGTGCTCAGGCGACGTTTTAACATTCGTGTATCGCCGATACGTGGATATTCCCGATTCCAGCGAGTAAATTGTCACGCCAGAGCGCGACGAGCGAGGCGATAAATATATATATCGCGCCAAGTATATACGTATATATTGCACAACGCGAATAAACTTCCCTCCGCGCAGGGTCGTACGTCGAGAGGGGGACGCAGGTTCCCCCGGGCGACTCGTCGTGAGTCGAGATCCGGCGTGGGCTACTCAAGACACACTCTGTTTAAAATAATAGATAGAATATCATCAGATTACGTTAGATTACATGCAATTTTAATGTACACAAATAACTATGACTCAAATTGGACATTTGAGCGTGGCCGAGTGGAGACTTGGCGTGCAGGTATAGAAGGCAGCTACGAAAGAGATCAGAAGACACGCTAATGTTTCAAAATGCCGATTCTATTCAAAGAAAGAAGTGTGTAGAATATTCTCTACATTCTATTCTATATTCTATTCCATACACAACTGACAAAATTAGACACGGCCTCGGCAGGAGATAAAGAAACAAAGAGAAATTCAAATCGCAAATAGACACCTAGATATAGCACAAGACACTCGATCTTACGAACATTTTAAGAGTATTCTTCAAGAATATTTGGAATGTTCCCTAGGTCATTCTTATATATTCATCTCATGCTCGTGGAACATTCGGCTGGCGCTGCTATAAATCTTCTTCGGACGCGGGTAGAATAATCTATCGAGTGTGGCACGACAGAAGTGAATTTCGCCGAGGTCGCCCCGCCCCCGCCGTGTTACGCCCCTGCCCGAGGGACTGCTGATTTGACCAGCCTAGTGCCCGGAGACGGGCGGAAGTGATGCGCGTCGCTTCGTTACGTTTACATTCTGTTCCCGACGTCGCGTTGTGCGGAGCCATTACCCTCGTCCGCAAGCATCGTGCCATATTCCCACTCGCGCCCTGAAATTGACCGCGTTCTCGTAGTTTTAAGTGAAATATTATGAGAGTGAAGACCGAAATGGACGACGACGAAAAGGGGTGAGTAACGCCCGGAGGCCCCCTCCACCGGTATATCGGCCTCGCGCCCCCCGCGCCGTCCTACGCGGCTGCCGTGTCCAGCGGGGGCCATCATCGCCGTCGCCGCCGCTCGCGCCGACGATTCCCGTCGGGCCCGCCGCGCCCGCCGTCCCGTCCCGTCCCGTCCCGTCGCGCCCTCGGCCACCGCCGACCGCGACGTGCGACGTCGCCGCGGCCGACAACGGATGATGCTCCGTTCACGCTGCCAGTCGTCGCTCGGTTTTTCCCTTTTTCGTGAACGGCAGCGGCGCCGGCGGCGACGGCAGCGAGACGCGCGGCTCCGCCGCTCGACGTACGCGTCGCCCGGCGCTTCCCTCTGGTCCTAAGGATCCCCTCGCGAAAATCCGGAGCCCCTCACCTCCCCCCCACCCCCTCGCGCCCCGTCCGCGCTCCGCTTCCGCGCGCCCGCCGCTCACCGCCCGCGCGCAATCTTTTATGGCAGCGCGCGAGAGTCCGAGCGGTGCGCGAAAGCGCGCGGTCGCCGGTTTCTCTCTATTTTTACGCTCCAATTCCCGGAGCCGGCGCGCTCAGGCGGCCTCGGCTCTGGAGGATCCCCAGCGCCTCCGCGGACTCGAACAGAGCGCCCGCGCCCGCGCGCGCGCGCGCGCGCGCTCGCCGACACGGTCGGCGTGGCGTGACTACGAGTTTTCGAAACGACGTTGCGGGGTATATGGCGTCGTTCGTCCGCCGTATCAATTGATCTCGATATTCGCGAGCGTCGCCGGCGCCGCCGGGCGTATTTACGTCTCGTGTGACTCAGCACGTTTCGTCTTTTTGGAGCGGCCGGTGCTCCCCTCCTCTCCGTAAAAATTCCGAGTGGACGCGGTGTGTAAAAAAAGGAAAATTATTACGCCCATTTTACATTTGTACATTTCACTCTGTGCCTCCTTTCTCGCGAATCGCGGCGTCTTGTCGAATTCGGAAAGGACACGTGACTCTCCCTCTCGAGGGGACTCGCGCGCTTGCACTTGAAGCGTCCACCTTCGTAAACAAATCTCCACAGGCATAGAATGTCGTTGTTCTGTTCATTGTGCAGTTTAATTAAAGCGTTAAGACGACGCGATGCGTTTGAGAAGATGTAGATTGTACCTGTGGCGCGTCAGCTATCAGAAACCGCCACGAAACGATCCCTTTTTGCGTGAGAAGATCCTTTCTCTCGAGCATCACTGCCCGCAGGGGATAAGAACGGGTCGAGGAAGTCGCGTGACTCACGCTTCGGGAAATATCGCCGTGTATTTTTTTTCCTGCAAAGATAAAGGGTTCAAGTAGATTTCCGACGGGAGCGGCATATATTATTTATCCGCCGCGCGACTTGTGTCGTTAATGAGGGTGGCACTCACTTGACTTGTTTCGCTTCCAGAAAATTGTTCGTTGGTGGATTATCGTGGGAGACAACCCAGGAAAATCTCCAACGCTACTTCGGCCGTTACGGCGAGGTCATCGATTGCGTTGTTATGAAGAACAGCGAGTCCGGGCGTAGTCGTGGATTTGGATTTGTGACGTTCAGCGACCCGGCCAATGTTTCCCTGGTCCTTCAGAACGGTCCCCATCAGCTGGACGGACGTACGGTGGGTATCCCGAATGGGAGAATTGCACTCGAGTGGACGGCAGAAATTTACATTCGGCGACGTGTACGCGTCGGCTTGTGCAGACTCCCTCTAATCAGAGTCTGACCGATACGCAGTTTTAGCAAAGTGATGCGAGAGAGGAAGAAATAGCGGAAAGTCCTCTATTATGAGATAGGAGGTCTTCAACGCCCGAATTTTATCACAAATCTTCTTTTCGCAACGATTACGCAATCTAACAATGAATTTTTCACTAAACACATTTAGCTCCAGGGACAATAAATTCATGGCGGAGTCAACTGATGATGCCTGTTAATTTAACAGGAAGCCCGCTATCTCGTATTAGAATCCTATCTCATAATAGGGGACTTTCCTCTATATTTCCTCTCACTCTACATGACGCATATGCTGTATGTAGAGTGAGAGGGAATATGTTTCTTTCTCTGCCGCATCATTTTGCTAAAACCGGCCTCTTGGCTGGACTCTGATTTGTTTAGAGGGACTCCAGGTTTGTGATCCCCGAGGCGCAATCTCGTGCAACGATCTCGTACTCGTCCACGTGAACGTTTTAGGCCTGGTTTTTCATTTTTTTGATTAATTGCTAACCAGGAGTTAGTCGATTCGCTATCTCTTCTTAGACAATAATATAAAAAAAAAGAAGATAGAGAGTCGACGAACCTCGGGTTAACAGTTAACCAACCCGTACGGCATGAGAATCGAGATTTAATCTGCAAGTCAGCTGCTCTTATATGAAACATTTAATGATATTTTGTTTTTGTAAAACAATGTTGAGAAGGTGGAGACAGCGTAATGATCTTGTACGTGCGTGAAAGCCACGTGGAACTTATCTCGCTGATGTTCTGCATTACAGATCGATCCGAAGCCATGTAATCCACGTACTCTGCAAAAGCCAAAACGCAGCGGTGGTTTCCCGAAGGTCTTTCTTGGTGGCTTGCCAAGTAACGTGACGGAGACTGACTTGAGATCTTATTTTACTCGCTTTGGTAAAGTCATGGAAGTTGTCATAATGTATGACCAGGAGAAGAAGAAATCGAGAGGTCAGTGCCAGTTCATTCTTTTATGAAGATAGTTGATGCATTTGGTGGTTTTCACGGCATTGTTTGATAGATACTTTTATTAGCGTTGCCAGATATTCCATTGCTTCGTTTTCTGTCAAGGAAGGAAAGAGTTATATGTTATATACGTTTGGTTTCAAAGTGTCATTTTCAACAATGTATATAAATGTTAAGTTACCAACTTCAGAAACAAGTCGTGGAAACTATTGAATAATGTATCAAAATGATGCAATAAATACTTGCATTATGGTGATTGGAGTTGCAGTCAGAATTCTTGAAAAATGTTTTTTTTTATTATGTTACAAATGCGGGAGGGTAAAAGGGTTGAATGTCTGATTGGGGTATTAAGAGTGATTTTATAAAAGAAAACGTTTAGGTCAAAAATTCTGACAACTACGGCACATCCATTATTAATGTACAGCAAAAATTGACGTAAGATTGATAAGAATTAATAATTTTTATATTTTCGTAATTTATATTCTTCTAGTGCAGCTTATATAATAATTGTTATAGGATCTTAAACAATTATATTTAAATTTATCTGATATTGCGCAATTATATTACAATGTCCTGATTTATCTCTTGTAATGGCATCTTGCTCTTTTTCGTTATTACATTACACAATTGCGGTATTTTACATATTAAATGAAATGCAGATGTTTATTAATAATGCGTTTTTGGCTAAGTTTTATTAAGTATAAGATTCTGTCAGATTATGGTATTGTAAATCATGCATAGCTTAAGTTTGCTATGTAATTAGCAGGAAATCTTGCAGTTTCATTCCTTTCATTAGATGTTATCTATTAGACAGCTTATTGAGTAACTCATTTATGTAATTGTTTAACCGTAATTATGTATTTTCTATCCATAATTATAATTCTATTTATATTAAACTTATATAAAAGTTACTTTGTAAAACGGATAATACCATACGTTACGTCTTAAAAAGGAATTGTTAATAGCAATAACGCTGAATTAAATATTTAGTTGCAAACTATTGGCTAAGCATCATTGCTACGCCTACAAGTGGCACTTGGGAAACCAAATTGGATACGAGAACTTTTCCATTATTTCCAAATATTTTTGGGCTATAAAGGCCGTTTGATGGCTGCTTTCAAGAAGCCGATACTCCAAAGCTTTGCACTCCTATTTCTTTATATTAAAACAAAACATTCTACTTTCCATTCTAAGAAGCTTCTTAAAGTCAGCCATCGTTAGAAGTGAATAGAAAAAGCAAGACAATTTTTTTAGTCTTACAAAACCGTCTCATAACGCGGAAGCGTTTTCTATCTGTATCGTAAGATAGTGTAATCTTTATTATTGCATATTATATTGTACATAGAATTTGTATACAAAAATACATATAGAAATATGTATAAATAGGAGTATGCTATAAAAATTTAATACAAAAATTTTAAGTCTGAGTCTCGCTATCCAAATTGTTATAATTATTTACAGTTGTTTATTAAAACTTTTAGATGACACAGTTGCGCAATATTTGAACATAATATTTATTATATGTTAGCCTAGATTATGTTTAGAAAGATTAATAATTACAATCACACTAACTGCGTAATAGTATCGACATTAATCAACACAAATAAGAAACAAATGATTAATTCATAATAATTAAACATTAATTTTTAATTCCGCAATAAAAAAAAAACTAATTCTTTGATTGAACTGTAAATACCGAGAAATAAATTATTGATTTTTATATCTATGCAATAATATATTTTTTCACGCTGTTTGTAATATTTTAAACGCCAATTATGCCATTAAAAAGTATCTTCGTCAAAAAGTCACAACGGCCTGACGAAACACTGCGATAAATCAGTTGTGCGAGAAGAGATATGCTCAGCCAATAGTCATGTGGCATTATCCTCTCTCTCTTCCTGCTGCCTACCTCGCATAAGCCTATCCTTTTTCTTTTGTGCAAAATGAAAATTGTGAAAATTTGTATATTAGTAGGTTAATTAAATTCTACTGGGACGTAATCTGTTAAATCTTCTATCGTAATATACTGAGCCTCACAATGTCGTAATCATACGACAAATTATTGAATTTACATTGCGCAATATATAAAGCGATTATTTTATTAATTTAGTAATATAAATGAAAATATAAATTTATTATTTAATAAGCATCACTATAAGGCTGGATGTTGTAAGTTGGTTTTCTTTTTTGTGGAGGAGGTTTTAGTTGTGCATATTTTATGCATTGTATGTGTGTGCATATTTTATGCATTGTATTGTAAAAACTGTTTTCTCGCATTATTGTGGCGAGCTCTTTTTGATTATACTCTCTCACGTTTGGACGATAGGATTCGGCTTTCTCAGCTTTGAGGATGAAGAAGCAGTGGACCGATGTGTTGCGGAACATTTTGTCAACTTGAATGGAAAGCAGGTATAGCACATCAATACACCATCATCATGTAACTAAACTGTGTGACCTTATGCAAAAGATAGAAAATAAATATGTATTAATATTGTGCCCCCCTTGAGACTATTAATATTATATAAGAATTTTAGTCACATAAATTATTTATTAATACGAATATTACTGTATATACAAATATACACACCTAACTGTTAGAGTTTAATTCTACTATGTAGAATTGAGGGGAACTCATGTGAATTAATTTTATAACTTGAATAGTATTAAGTGTGATAAATATTTTTAAATATTTATTATATAAGTATTATTACACTAAAAATGTATTAGTTTACAATATAAGTTCATTTAATGACCCTCTATTTTATAATTAGAGTTAAATATTATTTTTATATAAGATAGCACGAGCGTTAGTGCAGAGTATAAAATTAATTAACGGTAGTCACTGGTTAGCCTAAAATACACATTAATTCGTGAAGATGATGATGATGATGATATGTACATTTTTATTATTTTTTTCCAAAAACTTAATAAGGGAAACTCTATTATTTTTGTTCGATAGGATGAAATTTATAATACATTTGTATCTGTTCATTTCAGGTTGAGATCAAAAGGGCAGAACCACGGGACTCGTCGAGCAAAATGAACGATAGTCATCAGGGTCAGTGGGGTCCACCTCAACAGGGTGGCCCGCCGATGGGAATGGCCGGAAATATGGGGCCTATGGGCGGACCGAACGGGCAGATGGGTGGACCCATGATGGGAGGACCCATGGGTCCGCCTGGTAACATGATGCAACAGTACCAGGGCTGGGGCACCAGTCCGCAAAGTGGATACGCGGGCTACAGCACCCAGTATAACGCTCAGGGCTGGGGCGCGCCACCGGGACCGCCGCAGCAGCAGCAAATCCCACCGCCGCCGCCGCATCAATGGGGTAGCAGTTACAATGTTCAACCCGCTGCGGCTACCCAGGGTTACGGAAGCTATGGTGAGTCCGGTCATTTCGAAGATTCAAGCACTTCCCTTTTTTCGTTTGCTAGCAAATATTAATCCAAGTCTTGAGCCAGTCGATTGTGATTTAGTACGAGGCAATTTTTATGTAATTGAACACTTCGCCTGATATTGATAGCGATAACTTATTGACCGAGACATGCACATTTTACAAGAAATTGACATACGTGTAAAAATATTTATCTAATATAACTTCGTTATATTGTAAAATATTAACAGCTGATATTTAATTAACACAGCCTAAAGAGATTTTTAGGAAAATTTATCGGAGAAATTGACAATATCATTGAATGGATTTCTCTCTCGTATTATGTATATTTACACAGGGTACATGACGGTGAACGATGTTGATATTAAGAAATATTGTTGAAACATATATATGTGTAAACATATGGACCGCCGTACATTGTAAAATCTTTAATCTGAACAATTTTTCGAAAGTAATTAAAATCTGACTACAAGTATCAACTTCGTTTGTATCATACTTTAGGTAATGATAAAATCTGACTTGAATAAATATAACTTGAATCCTGTTCCTATCCTCTTCCATCCCGCTTAGAAAGATTAGAAGAAGAAGGAAAAAGATAAGAACATGAGAAATCACAATACGATCTACTTTTACGATGCCCCCTGGAGGTTTTTAGAAAACATTTAAAAAGTATAATAGATTGTTTTGATACAAACAAAGTTAAAAACCAAGTAATTATGTCAATCCCGACTTGTGTGTTTTGTTATTAACAAGCAGATTGTGTAATTTTAGTATAATGCAACTTTAAAAGAGAGAGACTATTATTTTTACATTGTTTTAGAAATATCTCATTAAACAATTTTTTTATTTCCTAGATTTTTGAACGTAATAAAAGTCTGTGATGTAAATTATATACATATATAAACTTTGCACAATATATTAATAATTATTATATTTTGACAACTATGAAAAGTGGACAATAATAATAATATAACTTTGAGTTATCTGAAATATTATGAATAAAACTGAACACTTGGTTTGAATTGACATAATATCCTCAAGGTATACGTATTCACAATATTGGACCTCATAATCTTATCTATGAATATTATGCTTGATTCTCTTTATGTTTAATCTTTCTCAGTCTTTTTTTCGTATTGAAATTTACTTGCCTAAATTTTTTATACAGATTGTCTTTACACTAAAACGGTATTCTTACTCCACTTATCTATATTATCTTAAAGCACCAATTGCTACGTTAAAAATAGTGTACTATCTCTAATATGCTTAGAGATAGCAAGTACTAACATTGGGTATGATAACATGTCACATGCTTACATTTCATGATAACAAGTGTCACATTCATGTATTATAAAATAGAGAAGCTATACTATTGTAATCTATACTATGATCTTGTATACACATATTTAATATTTTTTTTTGCAACAATAACCGCATATAATTATTGTCATCGCCTATCTATCGCTTTCTTTTTATTCTTCTTTCTCTTCTATTTCTCCCTTTTTCTCTTTTTCTTCTATGCTATTCATTAAGAGAACCAAGCATGAATGTTTAAGTCGCCGAAGAGGCGTTCTCAAGTAACGCTGAACAAGTAAAGGCATCTTTACATTTGTAACAAATTAGAGAAAAACAATAGTAATATAAATTAAACAGAGTGGTAAAAAAAAAATGAAATGAGCTGTGACATGCGGTCGGTGACACGTGTTTTGTGTGGTTGATGATCGCAGGTGGGCCGGCGGCGGCCGCTTCAGGGGGCTACGGGCCCACGGCGGGTACTGGCGGGGCTGCGGGAGGCGGGCCTGGGGGCTCCTGGAGCTCCTGGAACATGCCACAGAATGGGCCTCCTCCTGGGACCCAGCCCCCACCCCAGCCCCCTCAGCCCAACTCCTCGCAGCCCAACTCCAACTCGAACCCCTCTGGCCCGCAGGGTGAGTCTTCACAAGCTCAAGTCAAGCAAACTTTCCTCTTTCCACCCTTTGGCATTTAGTTCCGTTCTGACCTAATTCTGCGCCTAGCTACAGCAATGTAATACGAGCCTAATTTTTAGTGTTCGAGAAAATTAGTTCTTTGAGTACGGAGCACTTAGAAGCCGCATATTTTCTACGGACGCACTCGCTCATCGCGATCATGGTGGCTGGAATATGTATTATTGGAACATGTATATCTTTATTTACACCAAATTATTTTCATGTCGTAATGAAGAAGATATTTTATATATCGTCGGATGTTTTATATATGAGCTCATAGTCGTGCTGCGATGACTTTTGCTGAACGCAAACATAAATCCATAAAGAGACCACGCCAATGATTTTCGTCATGCACATGAATTATGACATTGATGAGTTTCGCTGAACGCATATGTGGGTTCATCGTACTCAAAGGGTTGATGCTTTCAATATGTAGAATTTTCGTCGATTTTCTTATTTTCTCATTTTAAACTACAACTTCCTCCAATTCTCATTACTAATTTTGTGTTAAGTGCGACATTTTACCTGATAGTACATTTATGTTAACAATTTCGATTAATAATTTAACGGTGAAGCAAATAGGCTTCGCAAATTTTGTGATATATTTATATTAACATCTTTATATTTTTTTATAATTGTATGGCTTTAACAGTGTTTCGTTGTCAGTGTCTAAAGAAAAAAGTGAACGATTGTTAAAATATGCATTAATTATTTTTTTTGTACAAACTATGTATAGCATGTACAGCATTATTTTCTGCAAAATAAAACAAATGCATTAATACATTGTGCTTGAGTTTTCCAATAATTAATACGCCGTAGAGATTGGACACATTTGATAGCAATAATGTCAGTTCTTACGAAAAGCAACGATGGAGATTGAAGGAAGTGGAATAAAATTTGCATTACATTGACAACGAGTGTAGAGGGCTCAGAATCACTTTTTATTTATTATTAACTTTTTTTTAACTATCGAGAAATCATACATATATATATGTACACATATGTGCATATGCGTCTGTATGTATGTATATTTTTTTATACACACATACTTTGCATATACATATATACATATATGTATATGTGTGTATGTATGAACGAAAAGAGGATGGTGTATAGATCTAGCTTCCGCTTGAATTGAGTGGGGATAGTGGGATATAGCCATATGGTCGTTGCATATTGTTCATTCTTTGGATCGAAAATAATGCTTGCTGTACGCTTGACGCACTGCCGCTCGCCCAGCTATTCTATTCCCATCATATCTGCTTTATTATCTCATGTTTTATTCGTTACACGATGTTCTAGATCACGCCTCGAGCATTAGAAACGGTAATTTCGGAGCCATAACGTTAAATTACAGTTTTCTTTTCTTTATTTAAACGTCCCGACCTATCCCAGGCATAACGTACTCCTTTCCTCTGTACATAAATGTTTTTATTACATTTTATTAGTCTGCCTTTTGCGCTTAACTTTTTACGTGTAGATTCTCGAAAAGCATGTACCCTGCCAGAGTACCCATCGGGTTATTTAACCGTATTTATCATTGGACATTATATATATTGCATATGTTTATACATACCATAACAAATTTAGAATAGATTTTCAAAAGATACTCTTGTCCCAAGATCCAAGAGCATGTTACAATTTATAACTTGCAAAACAAAAATAATTATTTGATAAATGCTGAAAGTAAAAAGAAAATTAATATCTTACGATGATTTGTGTGTTGCAGGATAACGATGTCCTGTATTCCCTCCTTTTCTCTCCTTTCATCACCTGTCTTGACTAATGACGAATTAATGTCTTGTCTATTGATAATGACAATACTGTTGTAAGAAACGTCAATATAACGACCAGCCATTTGCGTTTATAAGCTACAAAAATTTGAAAAGAAAATGGAAGTTATACTACCGACATCAATTCGTCTTTAAGATCCTGAGATCAGTATGATATTTTTGATATCTTTGCTTGTGTGTAATAAATGTATGTCTACCTAGTGCTTTTTATCGTTAATTTTTATTATCAAGCTTGTAATTGTAATGAAACACGTAATTAATATAGAACTCGTATTTATAAAGGTATGAAATATTTATATATGTGAACATTTGAACAATATCTATTTGTTTAAGGTAATTTTTTGTAATTCATAAGTGATAATTGCGAGCACAAACGTATCTATTTCTAATAATATAATTTGTACACAAGTGAAATATGAGACATTTAGATATTTACGATGCTGAAATAGTTTGTTCATACATTTATTATTATACCATCTGATTATAATATTTGATATTAAATGCATGATTATAACATGGTTATTTATCTTCAGCACATTATTTGTTACTTAAAAATATTATGCTTTCTTAACAAGATTTATACTTTTTAGAAGTTGCTTGGAAAGTTTCTGATATAATTATAATTTATTACTGTGAATCTAAATTTCTCATTTGAAGATTGATATTGAAAGGCAAATTAATCGCATATGTAAATTAATAGTGAATACTGATCTCATTATCTTGATGTTGTGATAGCTGATTTCAAGTTGACGTTGTGATATAGCTGTATATGAATTAATTTTGTAAGACTTTAGACACTAGGTACGAGTTTCTTTTATACGCAGATGTTAGCAGTGCATAATGTGTTTGCAGTGTTTATGAGTAAACGATATAGCGTTTCGTTAACTTTTTAATTATTTTTTTTATTTAAAAGATACATGTATATATAAAACATATATTTTTAAAGTATATTTACATCGCACTTAAATACAGGTGAGTTTTATTTCGCGAACCAGTCTTTTACCATGAAAAATGTATTACCGAAACAGTAGCCAACCTGGCAAGAAATGGAAAAATCTCGTTATATATGTTTCAATCGTGTAATATTTAATTATATCTTTCAAGATACAATTAGATATTACACGATTGAAACATACATAACGAGATTATTTCCATTTTTTCCCGAGTTGGCTACACTTTTGGCCGATAATCCATCTCTCATGGTAAAAGACTGGTTTACGAAATAAAACTGTATAGTTTTTTGTATATACATGTAATATACTTATTATTTATGATTAAATACAATCTTTTCTCGAGAGACTTGATAACTGAAAAGAATTATTAAGACTTTCTTAAACAGAAAATGATTACTGTTACTTTTTTACAGTTGGTTACACAGTAAGCAGTATAAAGTAATATTTTTCTTGTTTCTGAAAAGAGCCATAAATCAATATTTGTTATGTAAAAAAATATTTCATTATTTTTCTCTATTTCTTAATATTGGAAAATAAAGTTAATCAATTTAAATGCAGGCAAAAAACCAGAGAAACCTTATACTCTCTTTTTACGCGGTTTTCTTTCCTACGCGATTCGTTTTATGCGTTTTCATTCATCTCGTTTTAGTTCCAGTATATTTCAGCAGCTCGATTGTCATTGTCAATCATAACTCAATTAACATTCATACGTTTTTTATTTACTCTTATTCTCTTCAAACTCGGTTCAAATCAAAGTAAACAGCTTTCAATATAAAATAGTGTATGCATAATCTTTAACGCAACTCTTCTTAATAACGCGATTTCTTCTTACACGGAACGTATTTACCACGTAAAAAGAGAATTGGATGTATATATTCTTCAATAATATTATTTTATATGTAAAAGTAACAGGTGTATATTTCTGTATGTTAATCTTATTATTTAATCTTTTTGGACGTTGCGACGTTTAGATAATAGTAATAACATGTAAATTGTACACCGTAAATAATTAGATTGAATAATTTCTTTAAACACACGATGTTTAACTTTCTTGACATTTCTTTTACAACCCGTTAGAACGAGACGAGCACGATGACTCACGTGTTATGTACAAATGTTGCAGGTGACATGTACTCACGGCAAAATACCGGTTCGGGCGCGCCGGGATCCAGCAGCAGTTCGGCCAAGACTCCAGATTACACTGGGTACTCTGCGTACAGTAATTATGCTGATACTTCTTATCCTCAGCGTTCGTATCAAGGAGGAGAAAATAGTCAAGGTGGGTATGCCGCCAGCGCTCCTAAACCCGGCCAGCAAGGCTTTGATTTCAAAGAGTGGCCCACCTCATGACCATTTTAATTAACTCGAGCTGGAGAGATGCGCTGAATGGCCTGGCCTTGCTCGTGGGTTACTTCTTCATATTCAGGATAAACGTTAACTACACGTTGATCGTGAAATCTGCGCCGTGACACAAGAGACGCTCTTGTCGACGAACGTTTCTTATGCATTAGGGATGCCATGTAGAGAAAAATACGCATGTCCTTTAAGAAAACTGGTGTTATGTATTTTTGTAGAAGCAAATTAGAGTTACGATTAGTTGTACAATGAGGCATTTGCTGAAAAAGGATTGGCAGGATTGGCAAGCAAAATCGACGTCAGAAAACAGAGTGTCTCTTGTTCATGGCCAGCACGTCGTTTGCGAGCGATCAAATTAACACGATGGACATCTTTTTTTTTATAATATTGAAAGACATATAGCAAGCTTGGCCAACGGAAGTGTCGAGAAAGGCGTTTTTTAGACCTTTCTTCGGATATTGATTTCTTCGTTGATCGCTCGCGAGAACGACTCATGATCTGTCTGAATAAAGGATGTAAATGAAATATTAAATGTTAAGTAAAAAGTAAAAAGTAAAAAGTAAAAAACAAAACAAAATCGACAGTGTTAGGGTACACACCCATGATGCAAGTGAAGTTTGTATGGCACTGGGATAGACGAAAGAAAGCGCGATATCAAATTGTAAAAATACACAAATGATGCAAAAGGGATTCTAAGGAAAAGATTCTAAAGGTGCGCAAATAAGGTGGAAGCGAGCGTAAAGAATCAGGAACGCTGATCATTTAATCGTTAATGGCATTTATTACGGAGGTGAATAAGTTTTCGTTCGAGAAGGATCCTTCTCAGTGTAGCACAAAATTTCGATGCTTGTTCACTTCCCGATCGTTAGCAGAAACGGTATATGTAACAGATGTGAGATAAGAGTAAATCGAAAGAAATATTTAAACTACGGTCTCCGATAGGAAGTCAGCGCGAGTGACTTGCACATTCGAGACACTCGTCCCTCCACGATCTTGTATTTATTAAAATAGTTGTTATACCGGATAATTGAAAAAAAAGAAAAATGATATAACGAGTAATCGATGAGATAATTAAGTAAGACGATCACACAGGTGATTACACGATCACACGGCTGATTACAGAGAATAGTGTAAAATATATAGATCATTTTAATATGTGGTGTATGTATATCTATATAAATCTTTGACACACACAGCAGGATGCGGTGTTTCTGCAGGCGTCCTTTTTTACTTTCATGTCATATCACTAGTAGTATCTTAAAATACGTATTTTTCCTCAGTTCCTTTTTCTCTTCTTTCTTGTTTACGAATTCCTCAAATTAGTTTAGCGGCTGCTTTCCTATTCTTCCAACCATTTGGAAATGACGATATCAACGCGCGAAAGGGAGTGGGATAAAGAGAAAAAAGAACCCGACAAACAATCACAAATATTTTTTAATACAAATTGTATTATAAGAACTTATAACTTAGTGTGTGGCCGTCGGACTGGCTTCTGTTCGACCATACCGTAATGCACGTGGAAACCGAACTTTATTTTTTACCTCCGATTTATAATACTATTAGGCACGTTTAAGGCTACGATTATTATTGTTACTATTACAATTAATTCTATATTATTATTACTATTGTATACATCTATTATTACTATTAATACTTATCACTGTTTACTCTTGCTATTGCTACTACTGCAAGTACTACAACTGCACTATTACTATTACACTATTATTACTGTCGACGATAATAATGACATGTGCGATACTGCTTATAAATGTTTAAATTTTAGATCAGTAGAACGAGATCATTGGTAGATAAGGTGGAGGGAGGGGTATATTGTAATCGTGTGGATATGTCTCGGTGGGGGATATCGACCTGAAAAGTTTACCTGATTAAATATATGACTTAATTGTATTTACTCTGTAGGATTTACCATAGATCTAAACGAGGAATATTTCGGAAGAGTGCTCTCCAAATGCTCATGTTTAATTACCGAGCGGGTCGCGTTGTGTCTTACTTTATCGATGAGAATGGCGAGTATTATGCTAATATGTATAATTCACCAAGATAGACCTTATACCACACACGTAAAGGTGTAATTAATAGCTTACGGTTACAGAATCCAGCAATTTCGTTAAGCGTTATAAATGTGATCTCATATAACGTAATTTTACTATTGCCCATATTCTTTTTCCTTGTCCATCGAACGACAGTGTAAGGCTTCATTGTATCTTAAGTGCAACTTGATCGACTGCTAATTTTACTTTTCTTCTTCGTATTGTTTCCGTTATTCGTTTCGCTGTTCATGTCATTAATGCTTGTTACGCATCCTGACAATAAATTGTTGAATCGCATTGCATTCAAAGCTGTAGAATAAGCCAATCTTTTCTCTTTTTGTTTCTTTTTTCTACGACGGTATTTATTACCGAGTATATCGACGTTTCGAATTTAGAGCCACTTTGCATTTTGTTAGAAATCTTATATAGTAACTTCGTTTTCGTCTGCGACGAAATATATCGCGGAGAAAAAGCCGGTGTCGTACACGCCAATCGGGTGAAGAAAAAAAAAAAACGAGTGCAATGTTAACAAACGCGACTCGTGTGAACTTTTGGGATCAACGCAATAACACACTTAACTAAACACATAACGAAACAAAAATGCGACTAGAGAGCTCAATCAAACAACCAATTTTACATCCTAATTATTATGGTAATACAAAGGAAACACATGTACACTCATCAACACGTATTCACACACTAACACGCACACTTTTACCTTTAAACATGCAAAGAAGTAAACTAATTAACCCTTTAGCTGCGGCTGTCTCAAAATTTTGACAAACGACATTAAAGTACATTACAATCATGATGCACAATTCTAATTACATTATATAAATTTATTATATCTTAAGTTTAATATTTTAAATAACGTTTCAAAATATGGATACGTACGATATAATAAATTTACCAAGAGGAAAGAGTTTCGATGATTTACTTAACTTAAACTTTTGTTTGTCTCTATCCAAGTTGAAAACGTCACGGTAAAGGCGAATTCTGATTGTTAATCTTAGTTCTTGAAACCCCTAAAATAAGACAATATGCATACGGCGTTTGCAACTAAAGAGATAAATAGTTAACGTATTATCGAACATTCAAGCGATAAATTCGTAAGGGAAAAAATATATAGATGAAAAAGTGATGAAAAACACTACGGTTGTTCTAAATAAATAACGCGTTATTTAATACCTAACTTGCAAAGGAGGGAGCGGCAAATAATAGCGACGTGTTTTATCTACGGCTGTTTTTTACAACTTATTTTATAGAATAATACCGATAAATAACGATGCGGAATAAGAACCTTTATAGTATATCAATTATAATTATTACTACTAATAATTGTATTCCTTACTATTATCGATTTTTAACTAAAGTTAAAGCGTGAATTTTAAAGTCTTAAGTGTATGCGAGGTGTTAAGGAAATGCGGTTATTACATTTGATTTGTACAGGACACGTAAATATAATCGATTTGTTGACGATTGGTATAAACGAGCTAATTAATTTATTATATTAACGAGTCTCAGACGGATAAAAAGTAAATTTAAATACTAGCGCGGAGAGACGGGGGAGGGAAAAGAAAGAAAGGGTCACAAAGAGTTAATGGCTGCCTTTGCCGCAACTATATGTACATACATATATTTTAGATTATGAGACGGTGATATAGTTGGGAGAAGGAAGCGGGGGCGGTGGCGCGAATGAAATTTTTTAACACGCAAAACGAAGGCAGGACGAAGGAGGCTTTAGAGCGGGACTATTCGAATAATTGATCATTACTAATTATAACAGATAATATATTTATATTCAACGCAATATTATTAGTATTTTTAAATACAGAGATGACGCATCTAATTAATGTAATAGGTAGCATATAGGGAAGATATACTTTGATTCTAGCCGTTGTTACTACCTGCCTCATTCGCGGTTTTCGCGAACTGTACGGCTTGCTCTCAGGGTTGTTGTTGTTCTCTTTTTTTATTATTGTTTTTTTCGAGCTCTTTTTCCTCCCTGTCTTATGTTCATCTACTCTTACTGCTCTGAATCGCTCGTATGTAATTTTGTTTTAAAGGAGGGCACTTTACACACCGAATAAGGAAGCCCGAAGTTCAGTATTGAAACATCTTTATTGCGATACTTTCGACAATCCGTCATTTTTATTTAACAAGTAGACTGAGGCGCCTCCCTTTTCTGTTCTGTATGGGACATTAAATCGCGTCTGAGAAAGATATCTTTGTATCCGACATCTGTCTGTTAGGTTTCTTATTCTATATCATAATCACGACTTTGAGAAACGGCGAGAGCGCGAACTGAGTAAGAAATTAGTTTGATTGTCAGACCTTTTGTTTTAATTCATTTTGTTTTATTTCTTTGCACCGTTCCGTATGCTTTCAAAAGAGTGTACAGATAACCAGCTGCACTCGCCACAGCAGGGAGACTATCCATGCCACCATTTATCATGTCACGACACGTAGAATATCATATAAAGTTGTGCGCTTACTATCCAGTTGTCTTAATTACAGATAAAAATGGGAGTCTCCCCGGCAATACCGGTGTACCATTTGTAGGATCGGTTTAATTAATACAGGAGAATTAACATTACATTATTACGTCCCAAATTTTTCCCGACTTCAGCAGTTTTTCCTGTTTCTTTTTTTTAACGTTGCTAACGTTAGACCAATCATTGTACCAGTTTTCGCAATTTACACATTATGGCGGCTCTTTTAAGAACGTGTCCGCACTTGCCATCTCTCAGATCAATTATCCCGTTTCTTAAGTCGAAGATAAGAAATTTTACAATCTCCCTTTCTCACACATTCACATACGTACACACGTATATTGTTTTTTTTTTCATGCATTTAGACTACTTCTTGATAA